AAATAAAAAAGGATTAAACGCTAAGAAATCCGTTTAAAAAAAAGAACTCTCGGCTCCAAAGCTCAATGCAACAGGATTTATAAAGGCCAAGACCACAAGGAGGGGCAGGGAATACATGGTTGCTAGGATCAAGCTGACCCAAAGCCTAGCAAAACTAATATCTATTACAACCTCGACAATAGACAAATTACAATCTTTTTTTTTTTTTTTTTTTTTGACAGGCAGAGTTAGACAGTGAGAGAGAGAGACAGAGAGAAAGGTCTTCCTTCTGTTGGAGCACTTGGGCCATCCTCCACTGCTTTCCCGGGTCACAGCAGAGAGCTGGACTGGAAGAGGGGCAGCCGGTACTAGAACCCGGGGTGCTGGCGCTGCAGGCGGAGGATTAGCCTAGTGAGCCGCAGCGCCGGCCAAGTTACAATCTTAACATTAATCCAGACGCAGCCACCTGTCTGAGGCTTGAGCAATCATACTAGGGAGTTTCTTGCTCTGCCAAGTGGGATGACGTTGCTGTTAGATCACAGTTCAGCCTCACGCTGGGCGGTGCTTTCTCAAGACGGAGTCTCGGGTGCTCTAAAATGGAGTCCCTACTGTCAAGGTGTCACTTCCCTGAGTTCCCCCACATAAGGCCGCCCCTCCCTCTGCTCCCTATCTGGATCAAGGTCAGCAGGGTCGGAGCTGTGAGTTACACAACGCCCACCCCATCTCGTGGCCGGGGAAGTCAGCACAGCGTGACCAAAGGGCAGGGTGGGAAGCGGACATGGCACAGATCCCTGGACCCGACCTGCGAGCTGCCGTAAGCAGATCTTTTCTATGAGGTCAAGGGGATTTCAGGAAATGTCTTCTTGTAGGTTTAGGCTGAATTGAAACCCCCTACCCTGCACTCCATTGGTTGGAAACAGGGAAGCAGCGAGAGAGGTAGGAGGGGTGTACTGGGGTGGTCTGCCCGGCCACCGTGCCGATGGCCTCTGCCACGGAGCTCCATCTGCTGCCTGTCCTGGTCCAGTTTGGGTTCAAGGCCTTGTCCACCTGCTTTGCATTTCGCACATACCATGTGTGTTGGGCAGTTTTTCGTTACTATAATTAAGATACCTGAAAGAAGCTACTTAAGAAGGAAGAGGTTTATTGGGGTTCACAGTTTTGGAGGTTCATGTAAAGATCAGATTTGGTGTCTGATGAGGGTGGGGAATGGAGGAGTGACTGTGGAGGGAGGATCACGGGGGAGCCAGGGAACAGAGAGAGAGAGACAGGGGTGCTTTCATCACCTGCCCTGTGTGTCTCACCTTATAAAGCCATCACGATGCTGTCATGGGCTGCACCCCAGCAAACCTAATCCAGTCCAATGGCTTTCCGAGGCCCCACCTTCAGACACAATAATTGGATTAAGTTTCATCCTTAATCCATTACCATACGACTCTAGGGATTAAGACGCGGCTCGGCCTTCCGGGGACGCCCAAGCTATTATCCAAACAGTAGCACTGGAGCTGCTCACGCGTGTGACACTTCCCAGGACGTGGATTCTTTCCAGCCCTGGATCCCCACAGACTCTGTAACAGCCCCGTGAAGCAGCACCATCACTTCTCAGGAAACTGAGGCTCAGAGAACATAAACAACACATCCACGATCAAATAGACTCAGGGTGGAAACCCCAAGACCAGGCTTCCAGGGTTCTAGAAGCTTCCTCTCCAGGGGCATGGTTGTGAGGTTTTGCCACCGAGAGTTTCCTCCAAAGGGCCAGAGGCTCTTTGATAACAAAGTCGCCTTTCTTTCCCTGGTGACTTCTTCCACATGCGGGGCTGGCCAGGACCCCAGGGAGCCCTCAGGAGGGTGCAGCGAGCCCCAGCCTCAGGTCAGGCAATTCGAGTTCTCTGCCATCTCTCCTGTGACCGTGAGCTCAGGCCACCGTACCCGTCAGCATCTTGAGCTCCTTGTCTACCCACTGGGAATCACATTTCTTTCCTTGCCTACCACTGGAGTATGATGAGCTGCAAATGAGACCAGCAATGGCAGAAATGCGTTAAGAATGATGCCAATGCGAGGTGTGACACTGACGATCTTCATACAAAAATGGGAGCCGGGGGCCCTTGGGTCGTCTCTCTTTCATTCGTTCCGTCACACTGGGAAAATGCTGATGGACTACTTCCCCTGTGCCAGACGCTGTGCTAGGTGCCAGGGACCCACGGACATGGCCCCCAGGCTCTGAGAAACTTGAAAGGAGGGGAGAAAGACCCAAGTAGTTATGCCACGGAGCTGTGAGGCCTTTCACAGATGTCCACAATGAAGGAGACCTCCAGCCAAGTGTCCAGAGGCCCTGTGGAACTGGGGAGGGGCAGTGAGCAACAGCTGGAGCCAGGGAGGGCCCTACAAAGGGAGATGAGCGGAAGGGTGGCGGGGCAGGGTGTGGAAGCCAGGGGTGGAGGAACACCATCCACAAAGGTCCGGAGCATGTGGGGGTCACCAGTGTGGCTGGAGCGCGAGGGACTGAGGGAGGCTTAGTGGCTGTTTCTTATTTCAAGGTGGCACTTAGGGGTAGCCCCTGCAGCTCTTTGGGGATCTATTTGGTTGTGTGCATCCATGTGTAGGTTTGCCACTCTGGGCTGCAAGAAAGAAGCCCTTGTCTGTGGGGCATTGTTGTCAGGCTCCATGGGATGAGGGATGTTTAGGGGACCATCTCAGCCGCTGGCCAGACTTGCTCTGCCAGTGCAGTGTGCTTCAGGTTACAGCCAAAGTTCCACGGTCCCTCATTCTCTCCGAACACCCAGTGCTGGTGGGCGGTGCTTCCTGGGAGACGGAGTGTCCATTTGCACCGGCTTGCCCCTGGCCAGTGGACTCTCTCCATCAGACAGGTGTTCAGCCGAGCCACCATGGCAAGAGTTGCCTTCCACTGGACCCAGCATAAAGCAGGCCGTCCCCTGTCCCCCGCCAGGTCCCTGCAGGGGACCCACAGCAACCTCATGCAGGGAGAACTCCCAATCTTGACCTGTTGCCCCTAAGGAGAAAGTGTTAGTCTGCTTTCTCTTGCTGGATCTTTTCTTTTCTTTTCTTTTCTTTTCTTTTTTTTTTTTTTTGACAGGCAGAGTGGACAGTGAGAGAGAGAGACAGAGAGAAAGGTCTTCCTTTGCCGTTGGTTCACCCTCCAATGGCCGCCGCGGCTCGTGCGCTGCGGCCGGCGCACCACGCTGATCTGATGGCAGGAGCCAGGAGCCAGGTGCTTTTCCTGGTCTCCCATGGGGTGCAGGGCCCAAGCACCTGGGCCATCCTCCACTGCACTCCCTGGCCACAGCAGAGAGCTGGCCTGGAAGAGGGGCAACTGGGACAGAATCCGGCGCCCCGACCGGGACTAGAACCCGGTGTGCCGGCGCCACAAGGCGGAGGATTAGCCTAGTGAGCTGCAGCGCCGGCCCTGGATCTTTTATAAAGAAAGGTTTGTTCAGCTCCCAGTTCTGGAAATTTCAAGAGCACGGTGCCAGCATCTGCTTGGCTCTGGTGAGGGCCTTGTAGCTGCATCACAGTGTGGCAGGAGCACATGTGCAGGGAGAGGTCATGGGGTCAGACAGGAAGCCAGAGAGATGCAGGGCAGCCATGTTCTTTGTAAAGCAACCTGCTTGGGGCCGGCACAGTAGGTTAATCCTCCACTGGCATCCCATGTGGGTACTGGTTCTAGTCCCAGCTACTCCTCTTCCGAGCCAACTCTCTGTCACAGCAGTGGAAGATGGCTCAAGTGCTTGGGTCCCGGAACCCACGTGGGAGACCTGGAAGAAGCTCCTGGCTCCTGGCTTTGGCTCAGCCCAGCTCCAGCTGTTTTGGCCATTTGGGGAGTGAACTAGCAGATGGAAGACCTTTTTCTCTGTCTCTCCCTCTCACTGTCTGTAACTCAACCTCTCAGGTAAATAAATAAAATCTTAAAAAAAAAAAAAAAAAAAAAAAACCAACCTGCTCTCCCAGAAACTAAGCAGGGTCCTGAGTCACTTCTGAGGGTTCCACGGCCATGACCTAAACACCTTCCATAGGCCCCACCTCATGAGGCTTCCACTACCTCAACACCACCACCCATGGGACCACGCTCCCAGTAGAAGAAACTGGGGAACACGCCCAAGCTGCACCCAAACCATGGGGGTTTCTCCCTTGAAAGAGACTGGAGTGGGGAGGGAGCTCCGGAAAGCACAGTGCGATTGACTCACCGTGGAGATGGGTGACTGGGGCCAGGACAAAGGCTCGCTCAGGGTTGCTCAGCAAGTCAGCTGCAGGTCTAGGCCTAGATCCAGGTCTCCTGACTCCAGCCGGGTCTTCGGTTGATGCATAAAGGTGTTTCTGTGTGACCGAGGTATGCCGCACCCTCCTACTGTGTGCACGGCTGGGGTCTGTGTGCTGACAATGGACCTGTCCACTGGGAAGGTTAAAGCAAGGTAGCAGAGTGCAAACAGGGAAAGATGGCTGTCTGATTAAAAATGTTCCCCAAAGCTGGCCTTGTGGCACAGCAAGTTAAGCTGCCCTCTGTGATGTCAGCATCCTATATTGGAGCGCTGGTTCAAATCCTGGCTGCTCCACTTCCAGTCCATCTCCCTACTCATGCACCTGGGGAAGCAGCAGATGACGGTCCAAGAACTTGGACCCCTTCCACCCACGTGGGAGATCCAGAAGGAGTTCCAGGCTCCTGACTTTGGCCTGGCTCAGTCCTGGCTGTTGCAGCCATTTGGGGAGAGAACCAGTGGATTGAGCTCGCGCGCTCATTCTCTCTCTCTCTCTCTCTCTCTCTCTCTCTCTCTCTCTCTCTCTCTCTCTGTCACCCTGCATTTCAAATAAATAAAATAAATCTTAAAGAAAAGGTGGCCCCAGAAGCCCAAACAGGAAGAACCGGGTAAAGTTCTGAGCACCTGTCTGGCGTTCGCTGGTCTTCTGAGTTTCTGTTAGAACAAGACAGCCCCAGCTGGGCCTCCGGAGCCAGCTGCAGGCCAGCAGAGGGCAGGGTGATGCCTGCGGGAATGGAGAGGGGTGAGACTGGGGACCTCCCCGCATGTGACTAAGCGGCCTGTTCCTGCAGCCCGGAGCAGCCCAGGAGAGAGATGGGGCCTTCGAAACACACATCACCGGTGATTCCAGGGCCGTTGTGTGTGGGGCTGTTCGTCCTCTTCCCCAGAGATGACACTTTCTGGGGACAGAAGAGTTGTCTCCTCCCTCTGGCCCTGTCTGCTGCTTTGTGCAGTGGCTTGAGGATGCCATCCCGGGCTCCCGGCTTCCGGAAAGACAGGTTGAAAACCCAGCTACAAGGTAAGCTCCAGGGCCTAGACCTTAGCAAATCAGTCTTTTGGCCTGGTTGCCATGGAGACAGACAGGCAGCAGCTGCTGGGGAAGAGGAATCAGCAGCTCCACCGCCATCTAGGATTCGGGGCGGTGGGGGGGGGGCTGGGCACCGCCCTTCCCCAGATACAGAGGCCCCCGTATGGCCCCCGATGCCCTGGCTCCCGGGATCTTGCGAAAGCGGGACAGTGGCAGTGCGGCATCCTGAGAGCCCAGGCTCCTGCTGGCAGGCCAGCGCCCTCCCCAGCACACCCACCGCAGCTGCCTGCTGCCCAGCTCTTGCCGCAATCAGATCCTGCAGCGCTGAGCTCCTGGGTCCCGGGCAGGCTCCCCAGCGGCCCCCTCGGAGAGGATGAGTCAGGAGAGGTGAATCCTGGTGTGGTGGCCACCAGAGGCCAATTTGGCTCCGTGTTCTGTCGCTGTCCCTCTGGAAAACCTGACAGAGGCCGCCGTGGCCAGCCATTGTCTAGGAAGGGAGCTTGAGGCTGAGCCCAGAGGGGCATCCGCAAATTATGGTGTCTATTCTTCCCTCATTGGATGCTACACTGATACCATTAATTTGTGGCTTCACGGCTGTGCTGCCCGGCTGGCCGCCCTCCAAGCCCTGGCCTCCCAGGCCTGGTAGAAACGGTCTTTGGCTCGACTCCTCCCACTGCTTATCTCTGGAAACTGAAGGTGGGAGAAGGGGCCTGGGATCCAGGTCGCCTGAGTCCACTTTCCCAGCACAGAGACCAGAAGGTTTCGTCTCAGCCTCTCGGTTTCATGCTCCTTGGTAAGAGGAGAAACGAGGCTGGTGTTATCTGGGGCCCTGAGTTCCTGCGCTTTGGATGTGAGCAGGGTCCTTACGTAAGAGAACAGAGACCCAGTGTGGAGGCGAGGGGGCGGGGTGCAGGAAAACAGAGGCTGCTGCCGCCACCCAGCCGGGGCTTCTGGCGTTGCTGTTGTCCACGTGTGGGTGTGATCAAAGTGAAAAGTCAATGGCAAAGAATATAAAGGAAATGGGGCCACCGACCTGGCACTCAAAAGCCAATCCCTCTTCACTGGCAGGAACCACTGAGAACTTCCTTGCCAGGCTTTTCAGATCTGCTCTCCATGCTTACGCTTCCCCTCCTACAGCATCGTCGTTTTAACCACACAAATGACAGAACGAGACACCACAGACAGCCGCAGCCAACACAGGGCTCCCCGATCTAGTCCCTGCCCCAGGCCACTGCTGCAAGTGGGTTAGTTTCCTGCAACACAGACACAGTTTCAGTTTTCCTTTCTTTAGCGTCAGTGCAATCATAACCTCCACACTTCTTTGCGAGTTGCTTTTCCCACGATAGTAATAATGCATATAGTTTCCCTTGGGAGTAGACCTACCCCTCTCTCCCTAATTGCTCCTTAGTGTTCGGTATTGTGAGGGTCCTATAACTTACGTGATCTCCTCCAATGGACACTCGAGTCATTCGCAATATGCTGCTGTTAATAATAATAATGCTTATACAGCTACTTATGCAAGGTTTATTTCTAGAAGTAGAAATTTTGCATTAACGTGTCTGTATATTTTTAGTTTCTCTAAATACCATGAAGATCTATTTTTAAGTGTTTTTTTTTTAATTATCCAAGACATAGATGCTCATTGCAAAGGAACTGGAACGTATAGAAAGCTAAGGAAGGGCAAAAATCAGGGGCAGGCATTGTGGCACAGTGGTCACGCTCACCTGGGTCACGCGGGGGTGCCTGCATCCCCTGCCAGAGTGCCTGGGCTCGAGTATCGCTCAGCTTCCAATCCAACCGCCTGCTAATGCACACCCTCGGAGGCAGCAGGTGATGGCGCAAGTACATGGGCTCCCTGACACCCACGTGGGAGAGACGGAGCTCCGCCCCGCCCCGCCCACCCTGGCTGTTGCAGGCATCCAGGGAGTGAACCAGCTGATGGAAGATTTCTCTCTGTCTGTCTCTGTCACTCTGCCTGTCATGTAGATGACAATGTAAAACAACAACAAAATTGCTCAGTCTCTCCACCCAGCAGCCAAGACTGTTTACTTTCTGGCATATTTTACTCTAATTATTTTTATGCCGCTATTGTTACAGCAATCAGGTCATACTGCATAGAAGATTTAATATTGAGGCTGGCGGGGGCCGGCGCCGTGGCTCACTTGGTTAATCCTCCACCTGCGGTGCCGGTATCCCCTATGGGTGCCGGGTTCTAGTCCCGGTTGCTCCTCTTCCAGTCCAGCTCTCTGCTCTGGCCCGGAAGGGCAGTGGAGGATGGCCCAAGTGCTTGGGCCCTGCACCCGCATGGGAGACCAGGAGGAAGCACCTGGCTCCTGGTTTCAGATCGGCGCAGCGCCAGCCGTAGCAGCCATTTGGGGAGTGAACCAACGGAAAGGAAGACCTTTCTCTCTGTCTCTCTCTCACTGTCTAACTCTGCCTGTCAAATAAAAAAAATATTGAGGCTGGCCCTGTGGCACAGTGGGTTAAAGCCCCCTCAGCCCATGAGGGTGCAAGTTCTAGCCCTGGCTGCTCCACTTCCCATCCAGCTGCCTGTTAATGTGCCTGGGAAAGCAGTGGAAGATGGCCCGAGTGCTTGGATCCCTGAACCTGCATGGGAGACTCAGAAGAAGCTCCTGGCTCTGGCTTCGGATCAGCTCAGCTCCACTATTGTAGCCATGTGGAGAGTGAACCAGTGTATGAAAGACCTCTCCCTGTCTCTACCTCGCTCTGTAACTCTGTCTTTCAAATAAATAAATCTTTTAAAAAATTTTATCTATGAGCATTTTCCTACATCACTAATTTTTTTTTTAGATTTATTTATTTGTTTGAAAGACACAGTTACATAGAGAGAGGAAAGAGAGAGAGAGAGATCTTCCATCCATCCACTGGTTCACTCCCCTAATGGCCACAATGACTAGGGCTTAGTCAGGCTAAAGCCAGGAACCAGGAGCCAGGAGGCAGGAGCTTCACGTGGGTGCAGGGGCCCAAGCACTTGGACCACCTTCCTGCTTTCCCATTAGTAGGGAGCTGGATAGGAAATGGAGCTGCCAACACTTGAACAGGCAGCCATATGGGATGCCGGCATTGCAGACAGTGGCTAAACCCGTTATGCCATGGTGCCGGCCCCAACACTAAAATATCTTTATTTATTTTTAAAGATTTATTTATTTATTTATTAAAGAGTTACACAGAGAGAGGAGAGGCAGAGAGAGAGAGAGAGAGAGAGAGAGAGAGAGAGGTCTTCCATACGATGGTTCACTCTCCAATTGGCTGCAATGGCCAGAGCTGTGCTGATCCAAAGCCAGGAGCCATGAGCCAGGAGCCTCCTCCGGGTCTCCCACGCGGGTGCAGGGGCCCAAGGACTTGGGCCATCTTCCACTGCTTTCCCAGGCCATAGCAGAGAGCTAGATTGGAAGGGGAACAGCCGGAACTCGAACCAGTGCCTATATGGGATGCTGGCACTTCAGGCCAGGGCATTAACCCGCTGCGCCACAGCACCAGCCCCTAAAATATTTTTATAAACACCTTTATACTCTTTCATGATAAATTTTTTGAAGATTTATTTATTTGAAAGGCAGAGTTACTGAGAGGCAGAGGCAGAGAGAGAAAGAGAGGTCTTCCATCTGCTAATTCACTCCCCAATTGGCTTCAACAGCCAGAGCTGGGCTGATCCAAAACCAGGAGCCAGGAGCTTCTTCCAGGTTTCCCACACGGGTGCAGGGGTCTAAGGACTTGGGCCATCTTCTATTGCTTTCCCAGGCCACAGCAGAGAGCTGGATCGGAAGTGGAGCAGCCAGATCTCTAACCAGCGCCCATATGGGATGCCAGCACGGCAGGCGGTGGCTTTACCCACTATACCACAGCGCCGGACCCTCATGATGGATATTATATGTACATAATTGTTTTTGTCTGCCCCTCTATTGCTGGATTTTTATGTTGCCAGCTTAACCTGCTGTGCCACAACACCAGCCCCTAAGTCTGAGTTGTACACATGACCAAGCTCCAGGTATGAAAGGGCGCACCGTGAAGCATGTCCTTCTCTGCACTGCTTCTTCAGCAGTGGCTCTCCTCCCATTCTCTTCTTGTGTGTGTTTCTTATGGGGCGAAAAACAGAGACACACTGTGTATATCTTTATCTCTTCATTTTTTCATTTGGAAATAGCCCATCAGATACATACTTTTGCACTTTTTAAAAAATTATTGATTTGAAAAGCAGAGTTACAGAGAGGGTGAGACTGAGAGAGATCAATCTTCCATCCCCTGGTTCACTCCCCAAATGACCTAAACGGTTGGGTCTGCCCCAGCCATACCAGGAGCCTGAAACTCCCCTGGGTCTCCCACATGGGTGCAGGTGCCCGAGTACCTAGGGCATGTCCGGCTGCCTCCCTAGGTGCACTAGCAGGGAACTGGCTCCCAAGCGGAGCAGCCAGGGCTGGAACCAGGGCTCATACGGGACGCTGGTGTTGGGGGCAGCCCCTTTTCTCTCGTTCACTTCATATCCCTGGATGGTTGCCCCATGCGTAAGATGCCTCCTGTTCTACCACGTTGCCAGGAGCTCCTTTAAATGGGCGTGCCCTGGTTGAGCCCGTCACTTCTATGGACACATCTCACATGAGCAGGGGCTGTATTCCAGCCGTGCTGTTTTGTCACCTGCTCGTGGCCTGACAGGGCCGGGTCCCAGGGACAGTCGTTTTAGAGCCCCATTAGAGGGCTGGAGTCGGCTTCTGCACTCCTGCCACAAACGTCCTGGGCAGCTGCCTCCCCTGCTCACCTGCCCCACCCTCACTGCACTTGCACTCTTCCCACTGATCGCCCAAAGGACAGCGCACACACAGCACAGCCCTGTTCCCAGAGCTTGTTCACAGTCTCCCCACCGCCCCCCAAAAAAAGGATCCGTGAAAGATGGACAAAATTGAGCAGTTCGTTTTTGAAAGCCTTTTTTGTAATAATTTTTTTTTAAATTAAAGACCCAGAGTCCGGTAGAATCTCCT